ACAAAATACCGACAGTTTTTTTTGCGCTGTTAAAAGTGATAGCGCATGTGGTGAAAACATAAGTTTCTTCTTTCCGACCTTAACTTTTCTGGAGTTTCCTACCGTTATTATGCTTAACCTCAATTGTTTTTTTCAAGTAGAGGTAACATAGATATATTTATGTGCTAGCAAATAACAATAAAAGAAAGGGTGGAAGATAGGTCTGATGTCGGCAGACGACGTGCTGATCCTGCAGACGGTGTCTGGTCGGTGTGACGATGTTGTTGTTGGACGGCGTGCTGGTGTTGGCACACGGCGTCCGGTCGGCGTCGAAACAAAATGTTAACAGTGAAAATTAGCCGAAAAAATCGGCTACCGGGCCCATCTGGAGCTCCGGCTCGCTCTATTTAGGCCCAGTTTACAAAGAGAGCTGCATACATGATTGATGTTGGTGCCGATGTTTGACGGCGGTACCGTTATGCAAAGGAAATTACTGTACTGCAAAACAAAAATTTATATAATTTATGTATCGCTTTTTGCTTCCTTTGTTTCCTCTTTTCCATTCGAGGCGCTTTTCCTCGACAGCGCATATGCTGGCTTTCGGCGACTGCTCCCTATCAAGGTGAAAGTGGCGGCACTTGCAGCGGGGGAAGCACACTTTCATGGCTTATTTTTCCTTAAATTTTGAAACAGACATTCTTCGAATGCACTGAACTTCGAAAAAGAGGATTTGAGTTACAGATTAAGCGCAATTGGCCAAGATACAAAAAAGGGTTAGAAAACAAAGCAACACCCATCGTCACACAGGTGAACGAAAAAACACTGGCTGGCTACTTCGATGCGCTTGGTATCAGTCACCCAGTCCGTGCTCCCAGTCCTCATGTTCGCAAAGAAGACCTGATATACAAGAATATTACGGAAGAAGTAAGTGTTTTTTGCGAATTTCATTCTTCTTTATTTACAGTTCCGACTTGTGGGATGAATGGATCAAATGGATTTTCGTGAGACCATGAAAAGAGGAAATGAAGTAGATTGTAAAACGCATATATGTATTATACAGAGTTAAGAAGATGCAAGGAGGACGTGTAGGGGAGCTAAATGTGAAAGTGGCTGTCTGTGTTTCATCCCTAAGCTGCAAACACAGACAGTATATGGTGTGGATTGGGGTGAGAATCATCAGTGCAGCCCCACAATTATTACTTGCCTGACAGACAGTTTTTTCTTATGAAAAGAAAAAATGCTGTTTAATTTTAATACAATTTTCGAATAGGCTGAAAGATAATTTATGATTTTGTTAAAAATTGCGTTTCTGTTGCCCTGTAACGATTGTTGCTGTCGGCCAATTCGACTTCATTTGCCATCATAGTGATTTAATTCAGATCATAACATTTTCGTATGAAATGCCTTGTTTATACAAAGATTTTTAAACTAAAGGTCACTGTAATATTCTGTGAAAATGCATTTAGACATTGGAAGTGTTGGACGATTGTTCGATGGTGTCACGCTGGGAATGTCATCGTATTGCCACCACATCGGCAGCCGCATTGGCGGATGATGTTTTGGCAAAAAACCTTATTTCGGAATGTTGCGCCGGCATTCCAGCCTCTCCCGGTGCATTGTCAAAACTGATGGCAGATGAATCCGCGCTTCCTCGTTTTGTAAAAGTCTGTTATAGTCATATTTTCCACTCTCATAAGCTCACATCTCACTTAATTAGGAATGATATCACTGTATGTGGCCACAAAAAGGCAGCAGAACTAATACATTATTCTAAATAGCTCTGATATAGCCGATACATTTCTACCATTGATGAATACAGCTTCTGGGATTTTTTCGGAAAAAAAAAATCAAGACCGCAGGCAGATTTACCATCAGCTGAAAAAACTGCCAGGTGCGCGGTTGGAGAAAGAAGTTGTGGATTTGAACTGATCCAAATAATTATGCATTTTTAGCATAGCCTAGTTTTGCTTATGGCAATTAATTA